CTGGTCAGGCCTGGCACAGGCTGCCTGGAGAGGCTGTGGCTGCCCCATCCCTGGAACTGTCCCAGGCCAGGATGGACAGGGCTTGGAGCACTCTGGTCTAGTGGAAGGTGTCCCTTCCCATGGCAAGGGTTGGAATGGTCTTTAAGGTCCTTTCCAGCCATTCAATGATTAAAAATAATATTACCTGGTTTTGTAGCAGCATCTGAAGTTACAACCACAAAGGATGTACTGGTCATGCCACTCTGAAAAGGACATCCCTACCATGGGGCTGATAAGGCAAGCTGTATTTTTTGGGTCACTGTGATCAGTGATGACCTCCCAGGCTGGGTCTGAGATGGCTCTAAATTCAGGCCAAGTCATATCACCCTAGTCCCTCCCCTGCTGACTATCCATCAAAGGCATAACTTGAATCCTGAGCAAAATATTCCTATCTCAGTAATTCTGGAGAAAAGAAAGTCTTACAAGTAGGGCTGGAATGTAAATCCACTGATTCTCTTTTTTCTTCCACAATCCTCAGGTACTACAACTAACAAAGTAATGGAGTAAAATTATGGATTCAGCACAATGTGAAGACAAATTTTTCCAATTTCTCTTTGAGTTCTCTGTGCCACATCACCCCGAGGGAGATGGTTACAGACTGATGGCACATCTGAGCTCAGCGAGCCAGGAGCTGCTGTGCCTCAGTGCTTTTCTCCATGCCAAAACCCGGTCACCCCTTGCTGTGAGTCAGGAGGGAATATTCCCAATGTAAATGAGTTTATAGTATATATAAATTAAGTCCTGGAGGACTTGCCAGCAGAACAACTCTCTGTCTGAGCAGTTCCTAATATGCACTCTATAGGGAGGGAGGGGCTTGGTCTCCATGCCCAAATCCTCCTGATATTACCAGAGAAAGACGCAATTACTCCCAACAGCTTTGCTGAAGTAGCTTGTCTAGCCCAGGGAGGCCACTAAACTCATCACAGCAAGCTGATGAGCACATGGTGGGAACTACGCTCAGTCACCACACAGCCATTGTGGATTCTGGTCTCTTCCAGCCCTGATGATTTTTTGCAGTGATTTATTTAAGCCCGTATCAGGGCTGCTCAAGAGCTCAGTCTGCAAGCCAAGTCCATCACTCCCGGGACTGATTTTTTTACTGTAGGACAATCCATCCTGCCATGACAGTATCTCTTTATCATCGAACAGTGTTGCTCAGAGCATGTCACCACCTTATTTTTCATTCATGGGTCATCTGGTTTTGTTTGTCGTTCACTAGGAGACAAGCGTGTGCTCAGCCATTTAGGATCATTAATAGATGATGTTGCTCTTCAGGGAGCGAGACAGGGAAAACACATACTGGGTTGGGAAGTGTTGGTCAGAGGAGTGTGCAGCAATATCTTCTCATGAATTTTACATCTCTCTGCCCTCAGAGTGGAGTTCTCCACTTTCTCATGCTTTAGCACGTAAACTTAGTTCTGGTTTCCTTCGTTGATCACAAATCCACCACATGAAATCATGTGCTGGCAGAAAGTTGATCCAGATATGGCTGGACATTTTCTAGCTCTAGGCGATGCCTCTTCCATGTCTGAGCAGCCTTAATGCTGTTCCCTCAAAGCACAAGGGTGAAACTCTTCCCTTTTCTCAGGAAAACCATTCTGGCTGCAGCATGGTTCATCTGTCGGGGCTGGGGGATTGCCTGTTGTCTCCACATTTCCCCATGCACCAGAGGTTGTGGCCATGTCCTCTGGAATGGCCTGTGATGGACCACGGGGCAAAGGCAGCATGGAGGAGAGGCTCTGATGGGAAGGTCCTCTGCAGCCAGGGAGGAAATTATCTAGAGATGTTGTTAATTTAGCAAATGAACATTAAGTGTTGCTCCAGCTGTAGGTGGCTTCAAGAAGCTGCAAAGCTTCTTGGTCAGGCTTTTTTCTGCTGGTTTGGTGATCACATATGTTATAATACGGTCAGGTTCAGAATCACAGAATCACTTAGGTTGGAAAAGATGTCCAAGGTCATTGAGTCCAACCATTAACCCAACACTTCTACCTATGCAGTACAAATATCAGTTCAAGACAGGGTGCTGATGAGGGTTGGTCAAGCCTTCATACACCTGCCTTGAAATCACTGATCAGTGGTTTCACCTCATTATGCAGATTCCTAAAATGTGTGTTCCTCTTCCTCTCTTCAGTTACCCTCATGATGCATTTTTCCTTCCTTATATCCAGTTGGGGTTTTTTTCCTGCAAATTGCACCTCGTCCCTTCACTGTGAATGTGTAGGAAGTCTTGTCTCTCCTCTGTCTGTCCTCTCTGTCATCCTCCCACTGTCGAAATAGTAAAAGGCTTTACAAGACCACTTTAAAATTTATTTGTATACAACCAGTTCTTGAAAAGGTCTCTTTTAAATATTCCTAGCATCCTAAGCTCATCTGCAATCTGGAGAGCTGAAAATATGGAATTGTTGCACTGGCCATGTAGGAATGCCTGGGGAAACAGAAGAGCTCAGCTGGATTCTGGGAAGGAGCACAATACAGGACCAGGTTTGTCCTGAAGAACTATCCATCTATACAACCTTTGACAGGGCTTTGTTCTAAAGCAACCATCTTGCAATTCATTTCTTTAAATTCTTTTTGAGTATTTAGCCCCATTCCTCCACTCTGTTGCCACATCCCAGGATGTGGGGTATATTTGGACTCTTGGAAGTCGAGGAAGCCACACCATGCTTTGTGTGCATGAGCTTCTCACTCTCTGCCTGGGCTGCTCTGTGCTCTCCTCTCTCCATCCTGAGGATGCCTGAGAGGGGTTGCACTCATCAGGCATTATCTTAGCCTTGACACCAAGCTGAGTCACACAAACTGTTCCCATGTCCTTCAGCTTCTCAATGGAGCCATATATCCTTCCATTTTCTGCCTGCTCCTGCCCCGGACCACTTGTATCACTACCTTGGTGGACACATGTAGACCTCTGCTTCCAAGGGACACATGCCTGGGTGCTTTGAGCTCTGTTCTCAGCTACCTGCCTCTGTGAAGGTTTTTAATATTTTTTCACAATCACCTTCAATAAAGGGCATTGATTTGGGATGGAAGGAAGTCTCTGAGCAGGCCAGAGTTAGAGAAGAATCTGAGGCTGGGCAGGTCTGCCCTGGCTCTCTGCTACTAAGCTGGACTGGCTGTGATATGAGGGTTTCTAAGTCTAGTTAAACACCCCTGCCTGTACTACCCCAGGTGGCTTCAAAAATTAAATAATGCTGAGCTTTCCAAATTTGCCACACATACAACTGCTTAAGTTGGAAGGAGAAACGTGACTTTCATAAAACCTTTTTTTTCTGGCTTCTGGGAGGCCGAGCCCAGGAAATCATAGAATCACAGAATGGTTGGTGTTGGAAGGGAATTTAAAGGTTATCCAGTTTCAATTCCCCTGCCATGGGCAGGGACACCTTCCACAAGCCCAGGGTGCTCCAAGCCCCAGTGTCCAACCTGGCCTTGAACAATTCCAGGGATGGGGCAGCCATAGCTTCTCTGGGCAGCCTGTGCCAGGGCCTCACCACCCTCACAGGAAAGAACTTCATTGCTAATATTTCATTTCTTTTATATAATTAAAATTCATTTGCACAATAAATCCACTCCATGCAAGGCCCTTTTGACACCTCCCAGTACTGCAGAACCTTGGACACCCCAAATTCTTTTGGTGGCACTGCTTTTCCCCAGGTCAGTGAGTTAATGACTTTCAGAGCAGAAATGCAGTGTGCCACGTGCCTGTGCAGCTCTGCCCTCAGCTGGGAGATGTATTCAAGCACCCTCTGAGATCCTTTCACTGGGATGTCTCCTGGCACTAAAAGCCTGGTTTGGTGGCATGGTTAGGGAAGACCCACATCCCAAGGAGTTCAGCAGGATTTCCATCCAGTTTGCTGAATTACTTGACAAAATTACATCATGAAGACCATTTCCAGGTGATGCCAAGTTGTCTTTGAGCCTCTTGGACTGCACAAGCAAGAAAAAGCTCATGACAGGACTCAGCTGGAAGGATGTCAGCAAGGGGAGAGACCTTGCTCCCCCCAGCAGCCCCATGGCTGCCACACCACTCCAGCCCTCAGAGGTGACTTGAAGACACAGCAGAAGATCTGCTGGGAAAGAAGGAGCTATTTTCATTTGCAGGTCACAAAAAAGGCATTTGTGACTGCAGCCGCCTTACAAACACAGGCCCCTTATTGTTTGCAAAGACACCCTTGGCAACCTTTCGGAGCAGCCTGGAGATGAACCAAGAAGGCCTTTGTGAAGCCTCATAAAGGGGCATTATGAGCAGGGGGCCCCACGGGCGGGTGGGATGTGCCGGGCGATCCTCCCCAGAGGGAGCTGTGGGAAGCACCAATCTCTAGGAGATGCTTTGTGCTGGAGCTGGTGTGCCAGGCTCTCGTGTGCTGGGGAGAGGCCCGTTGCTCCCACCTTCCTGCACAGAGCATCCTCACAGTGAAGAGAGAAGCTCTTTGGGAAGCTGAGCAAGAGATGTGGATGATCTGACTTGAAAAACTTCATTGATGCCCGTCATAGTTACAGCTGGAATGGGGGTTGAGTTTGGGTCTTGGTCCTGCTGCTCTGCTGCAGAGCATCTGATAGCACTGGGCAGATGTCCCAGACCAAGAAAATCCTGTCTTCTTGTGAAAATATAAAATAACAACTGCTGAAATCCAGTCCTTTTTGCTTAATGGGATATTAGTGATCAGACCACAAGCCCAAGTGGTTCTGGAAAGGGTTTTCCTTGCCTTTGGTCACTTGGCATCATGAGGAAGACCTAACAGCCAAGAAAAAGCACTCTCTGGAGGGAGCATGAGTGTGTTATGGATGATAAAACAAAGATTACTTCATCTTAAGCTTATGAGCATGGTCTCACACTTGTAGGGGAGGTGTCTTCCTTTTGTTGGTTCTGTGGCCCAAGGACCGCCTGCCTTGAGATGCTGATACAAGGCAGCTGAGTGCCCAGAAGGGTGATCTAAAAATCAGGGATGATTTTCTGTTTCTATAGCTCAGGGTGTCTTGTTGAGCCAGGAGGCAATGATATGGAAGCTCCCAAATTCTTCCAATGTGCTTGTCACAGCAGAAGGACACATCATCTCGTGTGTGGTGAGAGCAAACCAGCCTTTCAGGAGGACGAAATTGGTTTGTGTGAGAGCTCCAGCCAGGACTGTGCTTCTACAAACAGAGCAGAGGCAGAGAAAAATCAGGCAAAATGCAACCCTGGGTGTATTTTATGGAGGGCACAGTAGCAAGGAATATTCCAGCTGTGCTGGGCCACAAACTCTGCGGGCTGAGGCCACAAACCACATGTGGACTCTGGGGAATGGTGCTCTCCCTCCTTCTTCCACTGGTTTTGTGACAAGGTCTGCCCCAAAGCCAGGCCTCTTGTCACAGGTGGGGGATGGGATCACACAGCAGAGGACGCTCTGTGTGGTCACAAGAGCTGCACATGTGTCCCTTTACTCAGGCCAGATGTGTGAGCTGAGCCCACCCAGAACCCAGCGTGTGCCCCCTGTGCAAGGGGGCTGCAGTTGGGTCACTGGATGCATGTGACAGTCGGGGGTGTTGAGAAAAGGCCATCAGGGCTCTTTGCCCTTGAGAAGATGGAAAGGTGGGATGAGCCATCCTGCAAATCCCTAAGGTGGGGATGCCCAGAGCTGCCCCTCACCAGAGCACTCCCACACCAGGTTGAAAGTCTGCATTCAACAGGGACTGGCAGAAGTGAGATCAGGCTGCATGCCTAAAAGGGGGCTTACAAGAACGTTGGAGAGGGACTGGGGATAAGGGATAGAGGGACAGGACACAGGGAATGGCTTCCCACTGCCAGACAGCAGGGATGGATGTGATATGGGGAAGGAATTGTTCCCTGTGAAGGTGGGGAGGCCCTGGCACAGGTTGCCAAGAGAAGCTGTGACCCTCCCATCCCTGGCAGTGTTCAAGGCCAGGTTGGATGGGGCTTGGAGCACCCTGGGATTGTGGCAGGAGGTTGGAATCTGTGGTGTCTTGTATGTGGGCTCCATCTCCTGGCTGCTCTGCAAGCCTGGCTGCCACCACCCTGCTGCTGTGCAGGCACTGCTACCAACACCACCTCTGCTCCTTCCCACACACCTCTCCTTGCAGCAAGTCCTTTTCCCAAAGAGCTGTGAAACGACATCCCAAATGCCAGGGATTTCCCAAGGATGTGCTCCTGTCACAAACCCAGAACAACACTTAGACTCATTTAGGCCAGAAAACCGCTCCAAGACCATTGAGTCCAACTGCAACCCCATCACTGGCAGGACCACCACTGCCCCATGTCCCCAAGTGCCACATCCACAGGGCTTTGAAATCCCCCCCAGGCATGGGGACCACTGCCCTGGGCAGCTATGCCAGGGCTGGACAACCCTTTCCCTAATTCCCCAATGCCCACCCTGAGCTCCCCTGGCCCAGCCTGAGGCCATTCCCTCTGCTCCTGTCCCTGTTCCCTGGAGCAGAGCCCGACGCCCCCGGCTGTGCCCTCCTGGCAGGAGCTGTGCAGAGCCACAAGGGCCCCCTGAGCCTCCTTTGCTCCAGGCTGAGCCCCTGCCCAGCTCCCTCAGGGATTGTGCAGCCCCTTCCCAGCTCTCTCAGGGATTCTGCACCCCCTGCCCAGTTCCCTCAGGGATTCTGCACCCCCTGTCCAGTTCCCTCAGGGATTCTGCACCCCCTGCCCAGTTCCCTCAGGGATTCTGCACCCCCTGCCCAGTTCCCTCAGGGATTGTGCAGCCCCTTCCCAGCTCCCTCAGGGATTCTGCACCCCCTGCGCAGTTCCCTCAGGGATTCTGCACCCCCTTCCCAGCTCCATTCCCTGCCCTGGCCACACTCCAGCCCTTCCAGAGCTCTCCAGAGCTGCCCCAGCACTGGAGGTGCCCGAGCAGTGCCAGCACAGGGACACTGTGGCACTGCCCAGGCCCTGCTGCCACCCCAAAGCTGCCATGGCCCAGGGGCCTTCTCAGCCGCTCCACATCATCCCCCTCTGAGGTTCCTTTTGGATGTAATCACCCTGTGTATCACTCATCAGGTTGGACCTGTAGTACCTTCCAACTGAACAGATTTCAGCACTCAAAGTGATTTGGCTCCAACCTCCCCGTGGTGAGAAGTCCCATCTGAGCCACGGGGCTCTCCTTTCCTCACTGCCCAGAGGAGGCTTTGCAACTCCTCATGACAGCATTTGGAGCAGCCCAGCTTCCACAATCTGTACTGGAGTGAGGAGAAGCTTTCTCAGCAAGGATAAATTTGCCAGAATCAAGATCCCAGACTATTTACAAATTCAAGCCAAATTATTTTTACCAGGCAAAAGTCCTGCAGCATCTGAGCAGAAGGATTGCTGGAGGAACTGGTGAAGCCCTGTTTTACTGGAAATGTCAGTGGCTGCACCATCCTGCTGCTGTGGGCCCACAGGATACCTTCAACCCCAAGCTGCAGCCCATTGGGACAATCTGGGGGTCCCTAAAATCCATGCACCACTGCTTAAACTTGAACCACTTCTTCCCTGCCATAGCAACAAGGCTGGCTGGTATCCTGACATGGTTCAGGGCTCTGTGGTGTCCTGATCAAGCTGTTCAGCTGAGTGTGAAGCACTTCAGTAATCACTAAGGTGACGCTGGGAACAGCTCAAGCTGACAGTGCAGAACATTCACTCAGAACAGAGAAAAAAATGAAGAACCCATCTCTTTTTCTCTTTCATTACTCATACAAAATTGCCCTGATGTGGGCAGAGAGAAAGAGAAGAGCACTCCCCCAACTCCAGCCTCTATCTGTGAGTCTAGGATCCCCTGGACAGGCCTCTAAGGCAGCATCCTGGTCCATATCTCCTACTGGGAGACATAAAAGTGAGAAGGCTATGAAGACCTGAAATCTTTTTATGATTTATAGGGGCCCAGGTAGTTTCATATTAGGTGAAACATCGCTGTGAAGCCTAGAAGTAAATGAAAATTTTGATTTTTAGAGTACTTTGACAAGAAAGAAAAAAGCAGCACAATTTTCTGTTTGGCACTTAGGAAGTAGACTAGGGCTGCAAGCAAGAAATAAGTGATTCAGGGGCAGCACAGAAGAGAGAGCTGAGAGTAATGGAATTAATATAAGGAAGAACAGACTGACATGGAAAATGCATTTTCTAACAGCCAGGAGCAGCTCTCCAAGAAAGGGATTAGAGTCCCAGCATGGGAACTTTCAATTTCCAATAAAATACCCCAGAAAACATCCCACTGAGGATGGTCCCATCCTGCAAGCCCCCACTGGTGGGAAGGATGAATCCTCAGCTCCTCTGCCACTGGCTTGCTCCAGTTTCTCCAATTTTCACACATTCTCCAGAGTTGTAAGACTGACTCTGAAAATTATGAGCAGTTGCAAGATTAATTGTTTTAAAAGCAGAAAAGGAACAGAAAATGCCTGAAGGCACATGGACAGATAATATGCTGTATTCATAAAGCTTTTAATAATTTATTGCCAGCAGCTGTATAAAGTTATTCTGTCCCCTTCCACCACTCCTCTTCAAGGACAACTCAAAGAACACCAATCAAAGGATGTCTTGCATCCTTCTAGGTGGAGTCATTTTCTACTAACCACAGAAACTTGTTTTCTGGTAAGAAATTAGAAGTACTGTTACTGAGTTCAAGGTTTGTGAAAAATTCCAGATGAATGCCCTGGAAATAAAAGACAGTGTTTGCCTTGGTTCTGGCTGGGCAAAGAAAACCTGCTCAGGGGAAGGAGTTAAGTATGTCCTTAAAATTAGCTATGTACTTAAGGGATTCCCTGAAATAAAGCCCAAAATGCAGCATTTCAGGACTCTCCTTTGCAAGACAGCTGCACATCCTTTGTCTCTTAGGTTACAATGTAAGATGTAACCAAAAATATATATTCTATTACCATCTTCATAAGCTGTTGAGGTAGGAGGGGCAGTGTTCTTTATCCTCTCCATGACTCATCCCCCAGAGCTCCCTCCTGGTGATATCTTCTGCTAATGGGCCATCAAGGGCTCCCCACATGACTCAAAATTACATCACCCCACTGTAGGATGATCCACCCAGGGGGAGGAACCAAGCATTCCTACCTGGATATCAGCTGAGGTCTGGAACACCATCAGCAGCACTACCCACTGGATTCCCAGAGGACAAGACCTCCATAACCACCACTGGACCTTCAGAGAAGGACCAGACCCTTCTACAGGATCACCGCTTCGACAGAAACACATCCAGCACTCCAGGGGGACTGCAGCCACCATTTAATGGGGCTGCTCCCAACATCCTGATCCACAGCGTGCCAGGTCACATTCTGCCTGCATTCACCCTCGAGAGCTCGGGTGGTTCTGCCTGGAGAAGAGAGGGGAAACCTTTGAGAAGCCTCCAGTGCCTAAAGAGGCTCCAAGGGAGCTGGAGAAGGACTTTGGACAAAGGTGTTGATTGCCTTGCAGGACCAGGGGGAATGGCTTCCCACTGCCAGAGGGCAGGGTTAGATAGGATATTGGGAGGGAATTCCTGGCTGTGAGGGTGGAGAGCTCTGGAACAGGTTGCCAATAGAAGCTTTGGCTGCCCCATCCCTGGAAGTGTTCCAGGCCAGGTTGGAGAAACCTGGGATAGTAGAAGGGGTCCCTGCCCATGGAAGAAGGTGGAATTAGATGGTCTTTGAGGTCCCTTCCAGCCCAAACCATTCCATCATTCTGTGATCCTCAGCACATCCTCCTGGCCTAGTAAGGCAAGCAGCTGCCCCTTAAGCTGGGCTATGGAACTGTTCCCTGTTTTCCATGGAAATAGCATGTTCATCACAAATGTTTGGCTGTTGCTACTCCTGGGCTCCACCATAGGCTGTTCTCTGACCTCTACAAGCCGTTCCTTTCTCCTGCAGTAATTAACACCCTCATTCACACCCCTGTGCTCTTGGCAAGTTGGCAGGTGGCATAAATACCTTGGCATTAAATATTTCATTACCAGGCAGTCCAAGATACTAACAGGGACAGTAAATAGTAAGTGTCCTCTTTGTGAAGGAAAATTAACTAATTTATGATACACTGCCTTGCTTGTTTCCACGAGAGAAGCAAAATCATGGTGCCAGCTCTCATTCAAATGCCCATTAAAAATACCACTTAAATCCTGAAGAAGGGTTTGCCTGAAGAGCTTGTGTATTATAGGAATTCCTGGGTAAATAAAGACAGGCTCCTG